TTATAAAAGTGGGACAGGTGAATCTTTCATTTTTCCCAATCTTAAATTCTGTCCTGAGGGTTGAGAACTTTCAAAAGATCCATGAAAATACATGATGTATATATTCTCCTAATATATCCATCATGCATACAATTATGCCTGCTGAACATTTCACAAGTGATTTTCCCAATATTATGCAATTCTGAGATTTTTTTCCCAGAAATATGCATTTATGTGCATATTTTATTTTGATTAAAGAATTCCAACAAAATTCTGAGGACTCAAATTTCCAACGATAACTTTATAGGTTCAAAGGTGTGCGTTTTATAAGCTCATACTAAAATTGAGCTGAACAAATTTGTTCTGCTTCCCTAGTGGGAAGATACGGGAATATATATAGACACAAGAATGTGTACATCAGGGAGACTGGGCTAGAAAGTTTCTGTGCAGCACGTTGCCTTCCCATCTTTTAGTCTTGAGAACCCTAGATTGAACTAGACATTTTTGGATGTTTCTTTTTGCTATATATAAAATAAATGAGGGTGCTGAGGAATGTTAGACAAGCTGCTGCTTTCTACATTTTCTTACACTTATATACTGCTTTTCTGCCTCTTACAAGGAACCCAAGGTAGCTTACAAGTTTCTCCTTCTCTTCATTTCATCCTCACAACCACCACTCTGTGAAGTAGCTTAGGCTGAGAATTCATTGTTAGACCAAAGTCATCAAATGGACTTCATAGCTGAGTTAAGACTGGAACCCAGATCTTCCAAATCTCAGTCCAACAATACTAGGTCACACTGGTTTTCAAGTAGACAGGAGACAAGTGGGATGTCAAGCAAAATGTTTCACTGTGACCTGTTCATTGCTGGATAATTGACTGCCGTCTTCCAAGTTATTCTGGATATTCTCCATCCTAGTTTTCTGCCCCAACCTGCAACTATTGGCATGTTGCAGCCACTATGCATGCTCATACCTCATCCAACTGTTTTGAGGGGCTTTTTCCTAGAGGATTTTTAAAATCCTGAGCTTTTTTTTCTATTGCAAATGTTGGGAGTTCCCCTAAGCATCTTCTTGTACCACTTTAGCTACATTAAAAGGGGTGGCCAGACTTGCTCAGTGGAAGAGCCACATACCAGAATGGACGGTAAATGCCAAATGTTTGAGAGCTGCAAGACATGGACAGATATTTATTATTTATTATGACCAACCAGACATTGCTACAATTATCAGGCTAGTTATGGCTAGTAGAGGGCTTGTGAGTCTCCATCTTGGTTGTGAATGGTTGAAAATTCAGCTGATACATTGTCAAGGCTGTATGAATTAGCTCTGTTGAAGTCACATGTTTGAAACACAACTGGCTGTCATAGCAGGAGACCGCTTCTTACTCCTTGTTCCCTGCCTTTGTTCGCCCCAGCTTGGCTCCTCAGATCAGAAGCTGCATTAGGCTTTCTTGGCCCCTGAGGGGCTCCCACACCTCCCTTTGGCCACCCCTGCTATATAAGGATGCACACTAGAAGAGATTCTTCTCTGTGTGCATGCATGTGTAAACATGCATATTATTATTATTATTATTATTATTATTATTATTATTAGAACATTTCTATGCCGCCCCTTGCTGAAGCCTTGGGGCGGCTTACAACACAATAAAATACAATACAAAAATAACAATATAAAATTAAAATAAATAATATAAAATAAATAAATATAAACGATATAAAAGAAGTTATAAAAGAAAAGAAAAGAAGTTGCCCTGGCCAGATAAATAAGTAAATAAGTCATCATATGCTCTACAACACTATGTCATAAAAACAAGTATTAAAGAAGGCACACAACTTTTAGAAACAACATTTAAGACTCCCTCAGACATCTGCTGCCATCAATATACCAGCAGCAAGATTTTAGGACAGAGCAGCAGTTTCTATGCAGTATGTGAGGACTACACCCTGCTTACTGAAACCAGTAAGCTTCAAATTCTAGCTTCAGAACAAGAATTTAAACATTAAGCTGCCATCATACTACATCTTATGATAATGTGTACGAAGAATTTCACTGAGCTTTATTGGAGTTAATGTTTACACACACCAAACTGGAATCTCTACTGGGTGGCTTGAAGAAAATCAGCAATGTTTAAATTGGTTCTGATAGTTCCGTAATGGAAGTTGTGCCTATTTTTCCTTTAGAAACATGATTGTTGTGGACAACACAGCACTGAACTACACACATTACTACAATCCTTTGTTCAAATTGCTCAAGTTTTCCCCTCTACCTGCTAAGTAAACATTCAAATGACATAATAAACAGGATTACAACTACTGTAACCATACCAATGCAACCTTTTTTCTTGGCCTTTCTCATGGATCTTAACATAGAGAGCGTTCCTATGGTATGATGAATCCAAAATGGATGTTGCTCCCCCCACCCCCATTTAATAGAATCTTACCCTAATTAAAACTCCCAGACAGCCAGTCTACATACAGTTAAGTCAGCAAATCATCAAAGCAGAACTAAGCTCCAAAAATGGATTTCCATGCCTAGAGATACCATGTTTTACTACCACTCGTGAAAAATAGCAGTAATTACATGGTGTATACTTCTTTTCAGTCTGAAATCCCATTTTAAAATACCATCTTCTCTGAAAGCTGTGGAAACACAAAGGCAGTGTCTTTATGGTTTGTAAGTGGGCAATTGAATGGGATCCCCACTTGCTGGACAGAAGCTTCTGAGTATCCTTTGTTTTTCCCATCTTCCACATGAAAGGAGTCCCATCTAGTGGAGTTATGGGTGTGGAGCAAAAGGTACCACAGGACAGAGTAGATCATGGCCTGACCTCTCCCCCTTTTGATCTCTACAGGGTAATCAGAGGTCACGCTTGTGCTCTCAAAAAGCAGGCACCATGGTTCTTTCCACAGCAGATGTGAGGCAGTGGGAGGAGACATTTTATCTCAGAGGTCCCCTGACCCAGAGTCATTGGTGTGGCAACAACTTTGGGAAAAAGAAGCTAAACAATCCTAGCTCCTTTGGTGACCATCTGATTATTCCCTAAGGAATGCATGTTGCATGTGAGTGTCAGCCAAACGCAAATGAAAATCGGCTTTTAATTTTCCTGCAGTTCAGTGGTTTTGCATATTGAAAATTATTTATTTTAATGAACAGGTACAAACAAACTGTGCAAACCAATAACATGTGTGAAGACCAAAAACAGCTAATCTGCACTAATCCACTGCAAGAAATTTTTATATGGTGCTTCCATCCTTTGGAAGAGTAGAGAGCCAACTGAAAGCCAGTGTGGTGGTTAGAGTGCTGGACTGGAAACCCAGGAGATCTAGGTTCTATTTCCCGCTTTGCCATGAAGTCCACTGGGTGACCCAGTCAGACTCTCACCCCAACCTACTCCCAGGGTTGTTGTGGGGATAAAACAGAACTATTTCCTCACAAGAGGAAAAAAGGCAGGGTGTAAATACAATAGAGATGACACTAACAAGTCACTCTGAAACATGTTCATTATTTCTAAACATCTAATTTAGGGATTAACAATTCAATGCCCTCTAGATGGTTTAGATTCCAACTCCTATCACCTGTTCATTGGGCCATACTGGCTGTGGGTGATGGTGTTAGCAATCTGAAAAACTGGTGGTCTAGCCTTGTAAACCTATTCTGGTGCCATTTCTTGTGCCTGTTATACTTGCTCAGTACTACATTGGCAAAAATTACATACATGCAGTACACAGATTATGTCTATTATTTGTTGACTTGTATTTGTTCTTTCAAAGAGCTAAAAGTAGGTTACGTAGTTGAGACATTTTATATTGCTCCTCTGTGATTTTCCATGCAAGCACAACTCAGGGTCAGTTCTGCTAGCACATCTTCAGCAGTACCTTCAGACCACATCCTGGACCCTTTTTCTGGGTTATGGTTTTGACAAAGTTTATGGGAAAACTAGAATTTCTTACATTAAGGCACAGAGCTCTTTTCTCTTTCATGCTACACAGCAGAAGGCTGTATAAATTTAGGCTGTCAGAAATTCTGGTTTAAAAGCAGTGATCAATACCACCAAGGCTTCCATAAGTGCATATAACCACAACTCAGACTTCAGCTTGTCCTTGAATCCTTGGTTGCTGTTGAATCATGGGTTAACATTCTATGCGCATTCTGCACTGATTTAATTACGCATTGTTAACCCCAATCAACAATGATTCAAATTGTATAACTCTCCCCAATAAAGTTCACACAGTGTAATAAGCCACAGCTCCTCAGACATAAATTAACTCATATAGGGTTGCTGTATTACCAGATTCTGGTCTCCGGGTTTTTACATGCAAACCATGCCAATTAAAATTAGGGACATGGTTCATGCAATATGACAACCCACACTTAATCTATACTTATGGGGAACTATGGGCTGTAGAATCAGATTGTTGTATTGTATGAACCCAGCCATGCTAGTAAACCATGGTTTGTTAACACAACTGGATTCACACCATACAACAACCCCCCGTTTTGTGACAACCCACAATCAACTGATAAATGATTTCACACAAGCTGCAGCTCACCATGGGTATGTAGCTCCCAAGTGTCATCCAGGAGTTGTATCATGTAAACCCACATAGCATACGTTAAACAATTTTCATGTAACCAAGTTTGTTCTAGTGTTTTTGTGTTTAACCCTCACATAACCCACAATTACTACATTCACACAACTTGACAATCCTCAAGTGGGAGTCGGTTATGCAAAATGGCAGCTGCATGCACAGTGCAATCTCACTGTGGCTTAAATAATCAAGGGTGGGCTGTTGTATTGTGTAAACCAACCCATTCTCCACCTTGCATATGGTTGCTTGTCTTTCAAGGAATCCAGATCACTAAGATAATCAATGCTCCTTAAAATGAAGGCTACTAGACAATCACTTTAGTTTTACAGCAGTGAAATGTCCTACTTGAAAAAGCTACTATGTTCTCAACTGCTGACATATTCTTTTTCTACAAAAATTTGATATGCCCACAAAACAAATACAAACCAAAATAAACACTTTAAACTTGTTTTAATATCACTGATCCTTAACAGTCAAAACAAGATTGTGACTGTAAGTCATCATACTCCTTTGGCTTAATCAGATATGTACAAAACAGGTTTTGGGCATCTGTAGCTGAAATCACTGATTTATGGATGTTCATGAATCCATTTTTTCAGTCCAGAGAGGTGCCACTGGAGGGGGCACTTTTGTTTCTGAGCTGACAAGCAATTCTTCTACATACAGCTAGTGAAAGGAGCAGATACCAACAGAACAACTGTGTATGGCTCTGTTCAGTGAATAACTCAAGGTTCTGCATTGTGTATTCCTTCATTGCTGTCATGACTTCATCTATGATTAACAACACACACACGTAAAATGATGTGACAGAATCTACTATGGATCTTTTTCCTGTTTTGATACATCTTCTGTAACATCAACATTTTTATAAAATGCCCAGGCCTTCAAATTGCAGCTTTTTAGAATCGTTCCTAATTGTTTTCCAGGCCCCACTTCATATGTGTAAGGAAATGATATTCCCTTTTTTCTTTCATAGATGGCATGCATTGTTTGTTCCCATTTTACTGGAGAAATCAACTGCTTTGCTAACAAACGCTGAATCCATTTTGGTTGTCTATATTTCTGGCTGTCCACATTTGAATAGACAGGAATAAGAGGCTGTCGAATGTTAATTGATTTGAGGGCTTCAGATAAAGGTTCCAACGCTGATTCCATAAGTTCAGTATGAAAAGCACCACTGACTGGCAGCATTTTTACTCGTACGAAGGAGTATTTTTTTGAATTTTTCTGCAAAAACTCTAAAGCCTTAAGGGAAAAAAAACAAACATACAAAAAGAGTTATTTCACTCAGTGCAGAAGTGCTATTAATCTAATTCAGCTTTTATAAAATATACAACAGATTCACTCTGGTATTATCTGCACAGAACAAGACCAAGTGTGCTCTAAGAGGCAGAATACTGAGAAGCATAAAAGTTAGTAAGAGACTGACAATGTTATTGGAAAATTGAACCCTTTAATAGAAAAGTTTTACTATATGCTCCCTTCTGGATTACCACAATAATGTAGTAAAAACAGCTACATGGGGGTGCTCTTAAATAGTTTGTGGTTCCACAGCTGCAGTCCATAGTTGGTGACTAAGAGCATGTAATGCCAAAATTAAGGAGCCATACCGGTTATCTAACAGAGCCTGTGCTCAATTGAAAGAACTGGTTCTTAACAGCCTCAGGAGCACACCAGGAAGTGCCTCCTCCCTGAGTCTCCTTTCATCAGCTGGTTGTCTGGTGCAACTCTTTTCCACCTGAGATTAATAGGCAGCCTTTTCCATTGCATGGGAGGCTTATCTGGCATGGGAGGCCTATCTGACTAAATCTAGATGGGCCTTTAGAAGTCAGGTGAAGAGATTTTCATGGCCCATTTAATTCCAAATATGAGAGATTAAGTTGTTCAGCTACTTTCATTATTACTTTTAGTATTGTTGACATGTTTTCATGTAGTAATGAGTTTTCAAAATGCATTTATGGCTATTAATGGCTCTGGAGATAGCTTCCAGCTAAAAAAGCAGGACAAAAGCAATAAATAAAACAATCAAGCAAACTTTTTTTCACCAAAATAGACTGCAAAAATGAATTACCATTGTGCTAAGATTAGTCTCTTGGCACTGGTCACTGTCAGCAATGCTAATGAAAACTAATCACTTTCTAAATTAATTAAAACTTTGATGTTGAATAGTACCTGCAAGTGTCCTGCGATGACTCTACCATCTGGAAACAAGTAGTTTGAAATAGCACATACAGAATTTTTAATGCCCAATGAGTTGCAGTATTCACGAGCTTCCAAGCAGGCAGTGACATAATTAGAATTAGCCTGGCCAATGACAGATAGCATTCCACTCGGGACAGCTTCTGATGCTTCTTGCATGGCTTCAGCACGTACCTTTACTGCATATAAAGCTAAGGAAAAGAAGGGGAGAAAAACTTCTTAGCTTGCTATATATGGGTGTCCCTGCAAAAAATGGCTTCAACCTCACGAACTTATGCATGTTTCTATATAATTATCAGATCTGAACTTTGTATCATGCAGTATTATATAAGTCTAGTGGGTTTCAATCTCCTGCCTTCAGGGAACTCATTCTACTTCAAACCAGTTAGCCCAGCACTTGCATGAGCTACAAACAATTCTAGTACAACCATGCTAGCTTGTACAGCCAGTTCTGTAGCTCACTGGCCAGGACTATCAAACCTTTAACATTGACCTGCATAAACTGAAGGTGCATCTGGAATGCACCCAACATATCTCTGTATTCCTCTAGATTTCTTTAAATTCAACCTACATGGAGGATGCATAGTTGGAGAAGGTTCATTCAGGAAATTAAATATGAATGAAGAATTGGCAATTTAGATTCCTACTACAAAGCCTTAAAGACATTTTTAACACATTCATTTTTGTTGTCACCTACAATTCAAACATCATGACAGTCCATGGTTAGCATGTGGCCAGCAAACCAGAAGTATGATGCTCAGCATAGTGCTTGAGCTGAGAAACTACAATCATGGCCATTGCTCCACTTCCAGCTGTAGCTGAACTATACACTTATGAAGGAATGAAGTTCCTGAGGCCTGAATGGGGCTATACTCTCTCTTGTATCCACAGTGTGTACTTGAAATGGATTTCAAGAGAACTAATGTCCAGTTCAATGAGGGTGCTCATAACCCTCTAAACTGAGATTACAGGCATCATTGGAGATCAGGAGGAATGTGAAGGCAATTCAGGTTCTTTCCATCCCAAAAGAATTAGAAGGCCACTTCTGGCCATACCACTTCTCAGGGAAAGAGGGAAAAAGGCTAAAGCAACAACAGGATATATTGTTCTTGGCTGTTTGTCCTCTCTCCTGATGATCTCTGCTAACTATCCATTAAACCCCTTCTTTGAGGCCACTCATACAGCCCTGGAAAAGCAGCCAGCTTAGGACGGGGGCGGGGGGAGTATAAAGTAGGCCAAGTGCAGAGTCCCAACTCCAATGTGAGAGTTGAGACTCTAAAAAATCCTATAGCTCTATAGATGCTGTTTGGGGGGCACAGAATCACTCTGTGAAATGGATGCAAGATTTTGTCCTTTATTTTAAACTTTTAAACAGAACTATACAATTCTGTTCAAAGAAGCACTTAAGATGACTACCTCCTCAGCAAATGAATTAAGTTTGAATTAATTTTCAAAATACTGCAAAAGACAATAAAAACAAGCTACCTTAGGTTTACAGTTTTATTACCTAAACTATCAGTAAAAGATGTACTGCTTCATTTATTTAGGAAAAAGTAAACAGCTACCTCCTGAGATATCCTACAACAGCAGAGAAAGGTATATGTGGCCCAATGTACCTAAACAGAAAGCCAGAAGCTATGTTGACATTGCCAGGATATTATATGAAGGACAAATGTTTAATACAACCATGCATAGATGCTTTTAAAATACCTTCTGCATAGTCTATAGCGCCTGCAAAAACAAGGGCTGCATATTCTCCAATGCTGAATCCAGCAGCTGCAACACAGTTCTCAACTACCTGCAGATATCAAACAGTTTTATAATATAAGTAATATATCCTAAAAGCTAAATGTTGGCATTTCAAGAAATAGCTGCTAAGTCAGAAAGTTCACCTATTGCTTAAATGAGAGGTGCAAAGGCTGAAGGTTGCCCAGAGTCAACACACTTTGGTCTGTAGAAGTCTCTCCCTACCTCCAGACACAAATTTGGAGTGATAAGAATTATACATTGGTGAAGAAATATAATCCAGGTGAAGACTACCTACACTATGCTGTTTTGGAAAGGCATAGTAAGAGAAAGGTACTTAAGTTTTCACTTCTGTTTTTATGAACAGGGTCTCTGCATCAATAAATAGGCAGAAGTCAATTGGTGAAGCTTTTACCAGGCACAGTAATGGCAAACAATATAGCCAGCTAACTTCTACGTCTTTATGAAGCTATTCAGGGCACTGAAGACCCAGTCTAACACAAATCGGTTTATCCAGAAGTAGTGAGGCTAATGCTCTCTGTTCTCACCCAGCCTATGGAACTCCCTCCAGAGATCCATGTGACACCCTCTTTAGTTATTTTTGCCACTAGTTAAAGATACAATTGTTCCAGCAAGCAGTGTTAGTTTGCCAGGAGGTTGCCAAGGTTGCTTTTATATTTTCATTGGCGCTGTCCAGAATCTGACTGTTTTTGGTTAACTGGTTTCCTTTCCCAGTATGTATTTATTTATTGTGTTTATTTTTATATCTTTAAGCTTTGCCATCTTATGCATTGTGAGGGAAAGGTGGTGTATAAGTGCGAAGAAAGAAAGTTTAGAGCTGCTGCTTTTGGGGGTGGGGGGCTTCATATGCAGTAGGCAACCTGGCACCCTCTGAAAATACTGAACCACATCTCCCAGAATCTCACTGGCCATGCAGGCTGGGATTTATGGGAGTTGTAGGCCACACTATTCAGAAGTCACTAAGATTATTTCAGAGAGGTCAAACGGAACAATGCTGGCAAATTCCAAAACTGAGAAAGGGAAGTTTTAAAGGTACTCCCCCCACCACCAAAAAACTCCCAGAGCTGTCCTCTTCTGGAACTTCTCCAATGCCACAGTTCGATTACTACACCTACTACGCAGGTATCATGTGGCAATGGACTATACACCGGCACTTCACAACTCTGGCGCCGAGAATGAACAATGGAAAGGCAGGATATATAGAAACATAGAAACAGAGCGAGTCAGAAGGGGTCTCCCGGGCTATCTAGTCTGACCTCCGGCACCAGCCGGCTCCGCTCACGACATGCCCACCAAATATGGGGTAGAACCAATCCAGAACCGCCCCTCCAGTTTAAATAAAAAGGTGCCTTAAAGCAACTCGCTGCCTGTCTACGCACGTGCTCACCGTGGGCTGCTGCTGATGCAGCTTCTCCAAAGCAGCCAAAGAGCTGACGAAGACAGCGGGTTGGCTGTGGACGGTTCGGTCCAGTTCGGCCTTCGGCCCTTCCAGGCACAGGCGCAACAGGTCGTAGCCCAGCACTTCCTCAGCTGCACGGAAAAGCTCCCGCACGTTCGGGTAGTGCAGTAGCCCCCGGCTCATCCCCACGAACTGGCTGCCCTGCCCGGGGAAGAGCAGCACAGAGACGTCGTTGGGGTCCCGCCGTACCCTCGGAACATCCCTTTCCTCCGCGCCCTCCACCTCCTCCTCCCCCATAGCGCTCTGCAGCAGCTCCGACACATTCACGCCTCGCCCCGCATTGGGCAGCTCGGGCATTTTGCTCCGACTCAGCCACCGCCGTGCGGCAACCCACGGTGCCCGCATAGCCATGGCGGGATCCAAGCACGTGGCGAACTGCAGGAGCCTGGGATGAACCCCGCGGATTACTACGATAACATCCGTCGCAGGATTGTGCAGCGAGCAAAAGCGGCCGCCCGGCGTCCGGTGACAAGCGCTTCCCGACAGCTGGAAACAAGGAAAGGAGGAGAAATGTTCCGCTTGCGCTAAGAACGTCTTCCGCCCTGCCCTCCAGCAACGCGCCGGCGCAGCGACGGCGGGAGGCAGAAGGCGGCTGCTATGGCAGCTTTCCCTGCGCCATGTTGCTCCCTTGAAAGCATGTCTGCAGTGGCGCCTGCTGCTCCTGGGATGGGGGGAGGAGGAGACCGGGTGACTAAACTGGGTTATTCTAAAGATGTTCCTCTGTGAGTTCACCGACCACTCTGTAGGACTGCAATCAAGACACGTGCTGAGGAATAGTGCTGGCATTGTCCATTACAAACAGAACAACGTATCATGAGAACTACTACCAAAATTAAGTAGAACGAGGGTCACAAATCTTAATCTCCAGTGAAACATCCTTAAACTTGATGATCTTTTCTAGTTTTTTTTTTTTATTGCTGCCCTTCCAAGTCTCAGTCTTCTTCAATTTTTTTGGCTGTAGTCTCAGTTTGAAATTCTCACCAAGGAATTGGTGTAATTCCAATGTAGTCATGATTCTTCCTTAATGTTCAGCTACAGTTCTGCTTTCACACTTCTTTCATTTTCATCAGGAGTCCTTTCAATTCATTGCTGCTCTCTGCCAGTCTTTTTGCATACTTCCCTACTGACTCTTGTTCCAGTCCACATTTCTTCTGGTTCATGATTGAGTTTGGTAATGCAGATCTCTGCTTTATGTGGATTTTAAATTCTGCAGGAATGTTAATGAAATTGTACTTTGGCACAGTTAGTGATCCTTTTCAGATTTACTCTGATTTTTAATATTAATAGTTCATTTTCACTACCACAATCTGCTCCTGGTCTTGTTTTGGCAGTGAGAATACAGATTCTTTATCTTCTACTTCCAATTATGTAATATATTGATTTGTATATTGGCCACTTGTCCATGTGTACCATCATCTGTTTGGTTGCCCAAACTATGTATTTGCAATGAACAGATGGTTGGTTTCACAGTGTTCAGTGAGTTGCTCTCCTACTTTGTTTCTGATCCCTAGACCACAACATTTGATTCTGCTTTGTTTTGTATTTTTTAACATTCCAATCACAGAGTTATACACTTGAATTATGGGTATGTAATAGAGAGAGATCTAGTGATGCTAGATAGGGAAGAGAGGCTGACAGCCACACAACACGGCATCCGCAAAAACAGGTCCTGCCAGACAAACCTTGTGGAATTCTATGACAAGGTTTCAAGATGACTAGATGGAGGGGATGCAGTGGATGTGGTTTACCTGGATTTCAGCAAGGCCTTTGACAAAGCGCCCCATGATATCCTGGCTGAGAAACTGAGGAGTTTTGGGATACACCAAAGCACTGTCCGGTGGATTAGGGCATGATTGACTGACCGAAAGCCGAGGGTAACCATTAGTGTGGAATCATCAGGATGGTGGCCAGTGACAAGCGGGGTCCCCCAGGGCTCTGTCCTGGGCCGATCCTGTTTAATCTTTTCATAAATGACATGGAAGAAGGGGTGAACAGTCTGCTGATCAAATTCGCAGATGATACTAAAACTGGAGCAGTGGCCACAACTGAGGAGCAGGTACTCCAGATCCAAAAGGATCTGGACAGACTATGGAAGTGGGCAGGAGACAACAGGATGGCATTCAAGGTCTTGCACTTGGGGCATAGGAATAGCTGTCATAAGTACAGGTTAGGTGACAAGTGGCTTGAGAGCAGCACTTGTGAAAGGGACTTCAGGGTGCTGGTTGACTGCAGGCTAAACATGAGTCAGCAGTGTGATGCGGTGGTCAAGAGGGTGAATGCCACCCTTGGTTGCATAGCCAGAAGTGTGGCTTCTAGATTGAGACAGGTATTACTACCACTCTATACAACTGTGGTGTGTGCCCGCAACTGGAGTATTGTGCTCAGTTTTGGGCCCCTCATTACAGAAAGGATATAGCCAGGTTAGAGTCAGTGCAGCGTAGGGCCACAAGGTTGGTGGCTGGTTTGCAGGGGATGCCGTATGAGGCGAGACTGAGGGAACTGGGTCGCTTCAGCCTAGAGGATACTCAAAGGGGATCTGTTGGCGACATACAGGTATGTGAGGGGATGTCACACGGAGATGGGTAGAGACCTGTTCTCTCCTACAGAGGAAGGCAGGACGCGCTCCAATGGAGCAAAGCTCAGGGAGCCAAGGTTCCATTTGGATGCCAGGAAGCACTTCCTGACAGTTAGGACCCCGAGGGTGTGGAATGGGCTTCCATGGGAGGTCTTTGAGGCCCCATCAGTGAGGGTGTTCAAAGATAGTCTGGACATGCACATGGTGGGCATGTCGTGAGTGGAGCCGGCTGGAGCCAGGGGTCAGACTAGATGGCCCGGGAGGTCCCTTCTGACTCACTGTTTCTATGTTTTCCTCAAGTTCTGATATATGCTGACACTTTGTGTTATAGTCTCTTCCTGCTTGTGCTACACCTTGCCTCAATATTAGACCACTTCATTTTTTCTGAGTTTGTCATTTTTCGAGTAGAACAGTTTGTGTTTGTCTGAGCACAAATGGCCTATTCCAGTCCACTTTAGTTCTCTCGTACCAAGTTTAACCATTCCATGTCTTGCTTTATGGCTTCCGGTTTGGCTTGATTTGTATTTCTCAAGTTCCGTGTTGTACATTGATATACAAAGATTAAATCAACACATTATTTCCTCCAACATACCTCTGGGGATTTCTGGCAGTTGCAGGGACACCGGAGCTCCGCCCCGCAGAGCACTGCGGAGCCGCGACTGGCTCGGCTGCTCTCCGAGGCCGCACCCCGGAGGTCTCTGGCTGCTGACGCCCGTTTCGGTTTGCTTCGTTTTCGCGCGTGCAGGGAAGCACCACAGCGACAACAGGTAATTCGATCTTTATACTCGCTTGCTTCAGCAGGACCTCCAACGAAGGCTCAGGCTTGGCAGCTGCATAGACTCCCCCTCCCCCCCCCGCCAAAAAGGGAAGACCAAGCCAGCAAAGAAGCTGGAAGTCCTTGCCTAACTTTCAAATGGAACTAGAGAAGGGAGTGTCAGGAAAGTGTCTTGGGGGAGCCGCAGTTCCGTGCTGTAACATCTCGGTGTCCTTAGCCGTTTCCAAAGGGATTGTTGCCTGACTTACTGCTTGGTTACTTAGTAGCGGCATAAAATTCTTGCAGCCAGCATTTCACGAACCGTGAAGGTAGCCCCTTCCTCGTGAATGCGCGGGGGGGGGGAGACTCCAGCTAACTTAACTCCAGCTAAATCCAGCCTCTTGAAAGGTGCTCCCTGACCGCCAGGGGTGGAAAAATGGTCTACAACAGCACAGCTAACTGGCAGACCTTTGTATTGGATGACAGCCCAGCTTCCGTCAAGGAGCTGCTCACATGCATAGTGTGCTTGCAACGCTGGGTTGTTTGGACAAATTTCTTCTGTTCAGTGGAGCTGAATTCATTCTTGATCTGTTTTCTGATAGGAAAACAGGGTAACAGTCACACTAAAATCTACTGTCTACAAGTTCATAGTATCGCAAGGCTGGTGTCATAAACACTGAATTAGGAATTAAGCTACGTAAGTGTTCAGTGATGTTCACCTATAGGGAAAAGCTGTTTCTTGTTAAACAATACCCCAAAAATTTTTCCCTCTTGTCCAGAGCATTCCAAAGGGAGGTCACCTATTGAACACAGAACAGGAGAATTGGTTGGATCCTTCCCTGTTGCTACCTTTTCAATAATAGAATCTTGATAGCTGCATGCCAGGCAGAAATTTAACAGGTGATTTTACTGTGTCTGTACTAGGATGTTTCATCTGTTGAATATCTGCATGTTGTGCCATTAACAGCACAGAGAACAGAAACTGTAACCTTTGTGTGTCAAGGTTTCAGCTCAGACCAAATGAGCTTCATGAACCTTATGATATGTGTGTTTCCTTAATCTATTCCAAATAGCTGCCTTTGAAGAGAGCAGAAATCTGACTTGTACAAACAGGTGCTGGTACTGACATCCTGAGTAAAGAACAGGAATGACATGTTTGCAAAACCTACTCTATCCTGAAGCATTTTTTAAAAACAGAATGATTGGCTTGAATTGCTAAGAGAAGATTTGCACTGGCAACAGTAGGAAATTTTTAATCCGTGTAAATTGGCTTGCATGAGCCTCAGTGACTTGTGGATCTCATTCTGTAACAATTTGCCTTTGCATCTTTCCTCAAATTCCTCATGGCACTTGTTTGCAGAGGTGTTGCTCACTTCTTTCCACACCTCTGTTATTTCACCTTTACTGATAGCCCAGTAAGCTTGGTGCAGCAGGTAATGTTTTTTCCTGGTCTTGAGATAAAGTAATGGGAGAACTACCCAGACAGTGTTTGCATATTAGACCACTTTTAAAGGCATGAGCAGAAATAAGGATGGCGTTTGATAGATTGCTACAGGAGAAGTGGGATTAGAAAATTAACAGGTATAGAATTGCCTTTATTGGATTAACATTTAAAACTTGGAATGAATAAAGATAAAATTTGAAGGGAAGGCTCCACATAGAATATAGAATGTGAAATGATGATTCAAAATAGCAAGCTGAGGGTGTAGTTTTCACTCCCTTGTTTTAAGTAAAGCGAGCCTTATCTGGTTAAAAGCTGGCTAGAACAGCCTTCTCCAACCATGCTGGATGGGAGCTTAAGAACTTCTGGAAGGATGATATAGAATGTAATAGAAGTGAATATGTTGTTAGTTTTTTTTTCTTATTGCCACTTTCTTGTCTATCAAATTCCCTGTACCACCAGCAGCTGCTTCATAGAGAAGCTATGTGGCTGAAGCTGTTAGCATCATTTCATTCTGTGCTGCAGGGGAAGAGCTTTACCTATTCATTTTTGGCTGTTAGAAGCACATTGTTCTTCTTATTTTAAAGGATTCTTAGGCATATATATATCCTCAATCTGCATAACTGGAGCACTGTTTTTTTCCCTAATGGCCTGGTTGAAGCTTGGCATTAAGGTGGGATATAAATGCAATGTAATAAAACTACAATACAGTACTTCCCCAATAAATTATTGAGGGTGTTGCAAATGATAATCATACTGTATTTTCTTCAAAGCCCTCTTGAGTTAGGACAACACAGTCAACACATAAATAGTTGCAATTCAGTAGCAACATGACATGGAAAACTTATGCAAAGGGTGACATGGTTTGAAAACTGATGTAACCATTTAATATCACATGTGTTATGAAATAAGTCAGATTTCACTAGGGAACTCAATATGAGGGAAAGGCCTTGCTTGTTTAACTGAACAGAAAGCTCTTGTCCGTCTGTGATCATTTGTAAAAACCGAGCCTCATGTTCTGGAGCCTGTTCCTGCTGGGCTGCTTGCACAAGGATTTACATAACCTCAGTCCTATTTTACAAAGATGCTGTAAAAAGTGTTAAAATTACCAAGAAAGGTGGATGGGAGATTTTCCTCAGCACTTTCACCTTCATTAAACTTGAAGAAAATTATAAACTTTCCTCCTTTTCTTATTGGCCCCGTTCCTTCTGATAACAGAAAAATGAAACAATTGAAGGTTTTCCTGACATGCAAATAAGGATGAGGCAAGCTTTACTTTTGGTTTAACCATTCCAGATTAGAGAGTGTTAAACTCTAGCACCTCTTTTTCTAGAAATTAACCATTCATTTGGCCAATGTATAGTCTGTGTAAAAGGAACATAATGATATAATGTGGCTAAAAATGTACAAGCTTCTCAAGGTTAATAATTTAATTTATTTATTTTTCGATTTATATCCTGCCTTTTTCCTACAAAGGGCTCAAGGCAGCTTACATCTCCTCCTCCATCTTATCCCCACAACAACAACCCTGTGAGGTAGGTTGGGCTGAGAGTCTGTGACTGGCCCAAAGTCACCCAGTTGGTTCCATGGCTGAGCGGGGACTAGAACCCAGATCGTCTGAGTCCTAGTCCCATGCTCTTAACCACTACACCACACTGGCTCTAATAGTGTAATAATGCTTTACCATAATTCTGCTTCCTAAACTCTGCATCTTTTTTCTCTCTGATGCATTTCTTTGCTTCCCAGCTCTGGTAGTAGGCCATCTTGCTTTCCCTTCAGCCACATGCCATTTTGCTGCTTTTGCACCTGTTGGGCCTTTCAGAATGTTCTTGTAAGCTGAAGAATAAAATGCCAGATATCCCACATAATTGTTCTGTAAAATTAAGTGTTTAATCATATGCCTGTTTAGAAAGGAGAAAGTACTACAACTTTCAACATACCCTATGCTGGGTGGGACATGCTGGGAGTTGTAGGATTTCTTTCTGTATAACATGCATCAGAATTACCTAAGCAGTTCAAATCTGGGAAACCAATTTTATGGCCAACAATATAGATACTTCTGAGGAATATGGAACCTGAAACCTGGTGGGTTGTGAAGAATGTTAAACAGATCCAACTGTGGCAATAAGCTGATGTTGCTATGTGCTGGCAAATTGTCTCCAACTGATGGGGACCCTATGAATGAATGCCTCCCTGCCCCCTTGACAGCCCTGTTCAGCTCCAAAAAATTCTAGGCTGTGGATTTCTTAATGGAGGCAATCCATCTCATATTTGGTCTTCCTCTTCTGCCTTTAACTTTCCCTAGCATGATTATCTTTTCCAGTAAGTCTTGTCTTCTCATGATAAACCCTAAGTATGAAAGCTTAAATTTTGTCATTTTCGCTTTCAGGGAAAATTCTGGCTTGATTTGATCCAGGACCCATTTTTTGTCTTTGTATCAGTCCAGGGTAGTCACAAAGTTTTCCTCCAGCATCATGGTCTGAATGCATGAATTTTCCTCCTGTCAGCTTTCTTCATTGTCCAGCCTTCAAACACATACATAATGATCTGGAATACAAAAGTATGTATGATGTTGGCCTTGGTTTCCAGTGAAACATACTTTACAGTTGATGATCTTTTCAAGTCCCTTTATTGCTGTGCTTTCAAATCTTCTTCTCATTTCTTGGCTGCAGTCTCAGTTTGAATTGGCTGAGCCAAAATATGCAGAATCTTTCACAATTGAACTTTTTTCAGTGTTGACAGTAAAGTTCTTTAACTCTTCTCTTGCCATGATTCCTGTTTCCATAATATTTATTCATAGTCTTAAGATTTAACTGTAGAATTTTGTTCTTTCATTTTTTTCAGGGCTCAGTATGCAAAGCCAGTTTTTCTGAGTGCATTTGACCCATATGTTTCTCTTGCTTTTCTGGACCCATGTTTGTGTATTTAACAGTGACTTGACACTCATAAGGCTACCAGACTCAAGGATAAGGTAATGGGGGGGGGGCATTGTTTAAAAGCAATTTTAAACACATATTCATGCACGCACACACAGGCCAGAAGAAAGTGGCAAACCTAGGTGCAGGATTTCAGCTATGCAAACTACTTACTAGTTTCATTAAGCTTCCAGTTCCTTTTCTGGCAGAGTTTCTTCACTTAATCCATATATAATAAGCATTTCCCAACATGGGTACATAACAATGGGAAAAGCCATTATCTGATCATTTCTGCCTATTATGCAGGTGATTCAACATGGGAACCTACACATTCACTGGGATTTCTTCTCAGGGTGGACAGTGTTGTTGTTGTTGCTGTTGTTGTTAGTCGCAAAGTCGTGTCCGACCCATCGCGACCCCATGGACAACATTCCTCCAGGCCTTCCTGTCCTCCACCATCCCCCGGAGTCCACTCAAGCTCACACCAACTGCTTCAGTGACTCCATCTAGTCACCTCATCCTCTGCCGTCCCCTTTTTCGTTTGCCATCGATTGTTTCCAACATTAGGCTCTTCTCTAGGGGGTCCTTCCTTCTCATTAGGTGGCCAAAGTATTTGAGTTTCATCTTCAGTATCTGGCCTTCTAAAGAGCAGTCTGG